ACCCATAGGGTAACATAATCTGTTCTCCTCACTAACATGGTGGCTACCCATAGGGTAACATAATCTGTTCTCCTCACTAACATGGTGGCTACCCATAGGGTAACATAATCTGTTCTCCTCACTAACATGGTGGCTACCCATAGGGTAACATAATCTGTTCTCCTCACTAACATGATGGCTACCCATAGGATAAAATAATCTGTTCTCCTCACTAACATGGTGGCTAACCATAGGGTAAAATAATCTGTTCTCCTCACTAACATGATGGTTACCCATAGGGTAACATAATCTGTTCTCCTCACTAACATGGTGGCTACACATAGGGTAAAATAATCTGGTTAGTCTTAATCCGTTTTGATAAATTACATAAGGAGACTGACTTTAGACTGTTTTTAATATTAGTACTACCATGATGAATTTATCAAAACGAATAAATATGAAATAACTAAACAACGGTATCAGTAGCACTGTCACGTTTGTTTTAACAGTAAATATGTTTAGAAATGAGCTGATTATATAAATCCGAACTAAATGAATTCCGTCTAGAAGTACTTAAATCTATATCTCGTTAGTTACTTATAACTTGTAAAAGACAAACTCTCTGAATAATAACGTTCATATAATTCAATCATATTCATGAAAACGTTAACAAAATAGGACTTTTTTTTTAAATGGATGTGGTATGTTTATACTGCGGTAGGTAAAGCCTTCCCGTGAATATAAGCAAGTCTTATAGCCTCCACTCAGGTCTTTTCGGCAAACTGTTCTACCTAACTTAATGAAAGTTTATAAATAAACTCAAACAGTGGTGTAGGAAGGAGTTGGGAAGTGGGGGTGCTCGATTAGACATGTAGATTTTACAACGAGAGATTGAAAGTATCAGTATAGGGGGTCTGGGGGCATGCCCCCCAGAAAAATTAATATAGTAATACAATTTACAGTTCCTATACAAGTCAACCGAGCTCAACTATAAAGTACAATGCTAAACCACGAGTGTTGAACACTAATTACCATGCCACTTATTAGACTTACCCTCAAATTGTATATCATGAAACAATACCAGAGACTCGACAAAGTTTCTATTACTAACCTTTGACATCTACATTATGTTTAATATAACTCTGTGACGCTTCCTCTAGTCTACTGTTGATGATTTGGACAAATTCGTTGCTTACCTGACGCTTGTAGGTTACTTGATATCAAGAGGAAAAGAATAACTCGGGCGAATCTCGATCTGCTGATGTTCAATAACGGGCAGCTACCGAAGAACCACGGCCCCATCACCACCCATGAAGCGGGGCTGCGGCAGCGTTGTGCTGCGTCAGAAAGAATGGTTTCCTTATGACTCTGTCTGCGACTGCTGTAGACAGGAAGAAAACGATAGTATTTGAAAAATAGTCCTCATAGGATGTCATTCTTTATTCAGTACATCTATTGCCATTCGAGTATTTCCTTAACACCAACTGAAAGCCTATGTTGTACTTCATCATATCGGTAAACCTAAGTGAACTCGCTATCAGAAACACCATTTCGATAATTTGTCCGTCCACTCGGTACACAATACAAACGCTTCGCGGCGCTCTACTAAAATCGTGCGCAGCTGCCGAAGACTTCCAGTTATGCGCGTGCGCCGTAATTTTTATTCCACGCCTACACCGAACATGCAAGTGTTTTGTGATTGGACTGAAAGACCGGTTTCTATAGGGAGGACGCGATTGTGACCTCTGGTGCTGGAAGGCGGAGGCTGTTCTGTGGTTCAGGGTTAGGAAAAGGGAGAACCCAAGAGGATTGTGTAATGTCAGCAAAAACACACCTACGGGCAAATTAGTTTACACCTTCCGTTAAAAAAAGACGACAGTTGTGAGATTTAATCAGAAAACAAGAGATCAACACTTGTACTTGAAACCCCAACTGATTATCAGCTGATCTTTTTGATGAAAGAGAACACAGGTGACTACTCTTCCACAGACTTGTACTTTTAACACCATAATCAGCGTTGAAGCTAGAAATTGTCCTAATATTAGGTACATGTTCTTTGCACAACAATCATGCTCTTACTAGCGACACGTTTTCAGCCAATTTAAGGAGGCGTTTATTTTTTAGTAAGATCCTTAAGTTTTTTTACTACCACAGTTCTACAAGGGGGGGGGGGACATTGCCCTCTTATTGGTTCTAAATTAGTTATTTTTTTAAATATCCAATATAAATATGTCATGCTGACATATCATGTGCATTTAAAAAATACGTTTACAAACAGTAGTGTTTAGCATGTCCGTGTAAAAAAGGGGAAAAAAGGTTATTTTTAGAAACAGACATAAATAACTAAGTAAAGTGACGAGCTGTGACGTCACAGCTCTGTAAACAAGTAAATCAATGATTTTTACACTCCGACTAGAAGAACTTCTCTCTCCGTTCAACCCCAAGTTTGCTGTTAGACGAAATATTTCAACCTCCCTTCATAATATATATATCTTAATAGAAACGGTTCAACCACTACTAGAAAAGGGGGAGAAGATATGGACCTGGATGTAGCTAAGAGACTAACCTAACCTAACCTAACCACAATATCATTGTGTTTGTTATCGCTAGTCGTCCCTAGGGCTGAAGAGACACACTAGGAAAGCAGCTAATCATCAGCACCCACCGCCAACTCTTGGATAAATCTAATTGAATAGTAGGACTTAATCATTACTCTTATAATGTACCGACGGCCTGGACGATGTTTCGAACGATGTTGTTACGCCAACGAATTATGATCACATTGATCCACAGCCCGGCACGCTAACTACTAGACCACACTCAGTCCTGATAAGCATATTTTACAGCGCTCCACTTTGAAACGTTAGTAGTGTTTTTTTTCAGTGATCACTTTAATAAAACAGGACTGGTTCAGTTATCAAGAAATAAATTCGAAAATCGTATCGCACAACCAGGTTTAATAGTGTTTACTAAACACGTCTATAAGGACAACTTTAAACAGCAGAAAGCTGACGTACACAGGTAGGCATCTATTGAACGATACGTGCACAACGTTTATAATAACGTACTCGTATATCTGCAGTGGCGTATTCCAAGGGCACTGCTATTTCCGTGACAACATTCATTCATATCTATCGTTCTTACAACTGTCGCGTGAAAGTGTTGTGAATAGTGCGCGAGCTTATTCTTAATGATTCACACTACTATTTGCAAGCTATATAGTGATCCACGCAACAGTCCCGACGGTCAGCGCTTCTGGTTATGTGCACGATATGTTACTACAGGCCGACCTACAGCCAACGAGAGTAGCTATGCTTATATATACTGACAAAAGTCCATCACTTAGCGTGAGGTAGCTTCGGTCGTAACATTTTTACAGACCACTTTATTTGGTTCAGCTATTTCATGTGGCACAATGTGTTTATATACAGAACCGCGGGTCACGTGAACAAGATCTTATTATTGTCAATTTTCACTCATATTTATCGTCCTTAATACACACGTATTCATAGTAAAATACTGAGACTGTCCCTGATTTGGAAACTGACCAGAGGGACGGTAGCCAATTAATAGTACTCTATTAACTACTGACCAGAGGGACGGTCAATTAATAGTCACTCTATTAACTACTGACCAGAGGGACGGTAGTCCTTCTGGTCAGTAGTTAATAGAGTACTATTAATTGGCTACCGTCCCTCTGGTCAGTAGTTAATAGAGTGCTATTAATTGTGCTATTAACTGAATACCGTCCCTCTGGTCAGTAGTTAATAGAGTGCTAATAATTGAATACCGTCCCTCTGGTCAGTAGTTAATAGAGTGCTATTAACTGAATACCGTCCCTCTGGTCAGTAGTTAATAGAGTGCTATTAATTGAATACCGTCTATTAACTACTGACCAGAGGGGCGGTAGCCAATTAATAGCACTCTATTAACTACTGACCAGAGGGACGGTATTCAATTAATAGCACTCTATTAACTACTGACCAGAGGGACGGTATTCAATTAATAGCACTCTATTAACTACTGACCACGCTAAGGGATTTGCTGCCACTCTTATAACGCATTCACAGCTTAAAATGCGGGGAATATTTTACGGTATCGCATAGAATAGAACCCGACTCGCCAGCTCCAAAACTCTACCACAGGACCCATCCGCACCCGTACGTAAAGAAAGATAAATAAAGTACTCGAGCCTCTGATTCAAACATCGTGGCCGAGTACATTAGAAAGAACATACTCGAACCGTTACAAATTAAACAACTGTTTTAATTTTTCATGTGTGGCGAGAAAGTAAGAAATAGTGAATAGTAGAAACTTTGTTTTTATCTCGCACGACAGTGGAATAATAATATATCACTTATTGTACACAGAAATCATTACACAGAGATCCATTGACACGAGTTATGACGAACTTTACTGGATTAAAATCAGTGTTCTCCGAGATAACTTTGCTCACATTGTGATCTCCACTGGAGAGATGACCACAACCATCGAAGCTAGTTCAAGAGAGTTGGAAACACGGTCAGCTACTACTATCGCCAAGACGACGGGGGTTTACCAGGGTATGTGGGCGTACGTTCATGCTATAGAAACGTACAAAGCTGTTGTAGTAAGCAACAGAAACTAATGAAAGATCGCACCTTGGCTCGCCCTTCTATTAACGTCGCAGCCTTGAACCGCACTAAGGGAGGGCGTCGTGTTTCGCGCCTCTGTAGGACGTCACGTGCTTACGTTACTCCAACGACAAGAGCCGAGACGGTTTGTGTTGGGTTGTATTATGGCTAGACCGAGTTTGTCAGCTTCTTCTTCTTTTTTTACTCTTTCTACATGGAGTTTAATTCTTGTGTGCTCGACTGTATTCAGAATTAGAATATAGGCGTACACGAAAGGCATAATCCAGAAACAGAGCAGAGAGTGTGAAATACAAATATTGTTTGTATAATAAAGACACTAATCCAGAAGCAGAAGATTATACTGAACAATCTAAAAAAAAAGAAATATGAACTTTACTTCAGTGCAAGTTGGACCACCACCATCTGTTATTACCGAAATGTGGTCATTCTGTTATCTAACTCGATCGCGTTGGATCTGGTTTTCCATTCTGAGGATCTATTGTTTCGGCCCGGCATGGCCAGGTGGTTAGGGCGCTCGACTCGCAATCTGAGGGTCGCGGGTTCGAATCCCCGTCACACCAAACATGCTCGCCCTTTCAGCCGTGGGGGCGTTATAATGTTACGGTCAATCCCACTATTCGTTGGTGAAAGAGTAGCCCAAAAACAAACAAACAAACAATCTATTGTTTGAAACATATATAGGAAGTCTTCTTCTGTCGGAGAAGACAGAGGAACAGAAGTTTGGATAAAGGAAGAGAATTATCACCATTTGTCTCAAATTGATAAACGGACAGACAGATGTATATACTGAGGCGTGTCTACTTAAATTAAAAGGATTTATTGCTGTAAATGACGTAAAATTTTGTGAACTAAGAATTCAGTATGAATTAGCATTTTTATCACAGCTAGATGATGCGGTGTAACACGAGTATTGTCTGGATTGATTTATCACAAAAAACGAGAGAGAAAAAAAAAGGATATAGAAGGGGATTACACCTCATAAACAACCATCTGGTACGGCGAGTGCCCTGGTGAAGTTTAACCAGGTTACCGTAAAGCTACAGTTATTTGAGGGGGGGGGAGGGGCTCAACTCACGGGAACAACAAATGCACACTCGAACAAAAAGGAACGCGCGAACTACAAGTGTTTGGACGCTGCAGTAAAGTCTCAGGTTTTTAGTCCCATGTGTCCGAAGCAATCAAGCGGACTATTCATGTTTCGCTCTCGGCGACTATCAATCTTTCACTGCTAATCTAAGGACCGGCTCGGTCCTTTCCAGATCGATACTCTGACGTACAGGGTGAGCTAACATCGCAGGAACGGCACATTATTCAACTTTCCCTCACCACAGTGGTTAGATCGATCGTTCTCGAGAACAATACACTTTGTTTAGATAATGGACCTGCCCAAGCGGACGAGATAAAGTTCGTTGAATAACCAATCAAAGTTTTATATTGACTATCCACATCTAAATATCATCCAAACGTGGACAGCACAAGGAAAGGAACTATTCAAATTACTGTTAGAACATAGTAATATGAGAAATAAATCCCTCCTGGAGAAATCGGATGGAAATAAGAATGGTGTAATGTACTAGCGTATCCGGCATTATTATATAAGAAGTACATCCTATTAATCAACGAATAAAGATAAAGAGTCTATAACAAACAGAAATATAAGAAGTCCGTAACAGTGTCTTTCATTGGTTGAAGCGTCTGAATAATAATACCATGTTGAACAAAATATAGAAGAACGTCTGAGAACGCGCTCCTTCTTGTAAGAAAAACTTTTTGTCGCGCCCTTATTGACCTCAGCCACCCGCGTGAGGGGAGGAGAATTAGCCATCACCTCTTGTCAGGAGGGTGCCACCGCTCCCTCAAGCATTTCGAACAAATAAGCAACAACCAGTTCAAAAAAAAAAAGAAGAAAGAGAAACAGAGAGATGACATTAAGCGACATCTAACGGCATGCGTACTAACTACTTATATAATTGAACTCCATCATCGTTATTTGTCTGAGACAGACTTACAACTTGATGCCAGCGTATCTATTAAAATCCGCCTGGCTCGATAAAAGCAACATAATTAAAAATATTCAACCGTCAAGAAAGGAAAACCGGATTTAAAATACCAGTAAAAATTAAATAATGAATTTTACTCACGGTTTTAAGGATGACCCCCAAGTTTCTGGAAATAGAACACGAAAGTTCTGACTTAATCACACATGTAGAGCCTATCAGAAGTTACAAATTAGCGCGTGCCTCCGACTAAATGATAGATTATGTTTGCGGCATCGGGGCCAGGAAATGGTGTGCTACATACTTTTTCGAGTTGTGGGTGAGAGGGAAAAAGGGGGAGGGGGTAGTCGATAAGCACGTGCAGACTAATGTCTTAACAGGCTGATACAACGCAGCTGTGACAACTGACTAACTCTGAATCTCTGTCGAAATCTCAACCAATATCATTTATTTGATTAGAATAATAGCAACATTGATGCTTTGTTTTGATTAGATTAAGCCTAATAAGATTAATGAAACAGAGTAATGAGCCACGAGGTATTAAATACTTGGATATGACTGAATACGTAAATCACCTTTTTCAAATTTAAAATCCATTTAGAATTGACTAAATTATTATATTAAGTCAACATGTCGGTACTTGTATGATTAAATAACCACAATAATACATTCATTTCTGACTTTGTGAATAAACAACAAACATGTAATTAACATGTGCGGAAGGGGGGGGGACCGAGCAACATTGACGAGTTACTGTACAACGGACTGCGTACACATTATTATTATATCTATTAATATTATCTAAATATTATCATAACCAGTTTCATACAAACGCTAAATCACATTCGGTATTGTACAGACTTATTGAATTTGATTAATCGTTAATGTTTTGTTCATTGTTGGCTAGAACATCTTTCAAATGAACGGCTTTCTAAAGTCAGTACAATTGAGTTTACATACATCTGTTTAAAAGATTATTACCGGATACTGTTTTCCACCCATATGGTTTTTACAGAGTTTAGTTTTGTTGAGTTTACATACATCTGTTTAAAAGATTATTACCGGATACTGTTTTCCACCCATATGGTTTTTACAGAGTTTACATACATCTGTTTAAAAGAGGAAAACAGTATCCGGTAATAAACCCATGTGGTTTTTACAGAGGTTAGTTTTGTTGAGTTTACATACATCTGTTTAAAAGATTATTACCGGATACTGTTTTCCACCCTTATGGTTTTTACAGAGTTTAGTTTTGTTGAGTTTACATACATCTGTTTAAAAGATTATTACCGGATACTGTTTTCCACCCATATGGTTTTTACAAAGTTTAGTTTTGTTGAGTTTACATACATCTGTTTAAAAGATTATTACCGGATACTGTTTTCCACACATGTGGGTTTTACAGAGGTTAGCTAACTTTTCTTTACATGCATCTGTTTAAAATATTATTGCCGGATACTGTTTTCCATCCATATGGTTTTACAGGAGTTAGTTTTGTTGAGTTTTCATACATCTGGTTAAAATATTATTGCCGGATACTGTCTCTCAACTAAGTGGTTTTATTGACACTGGTAAAGTCAATTTGTACACAGTTAATAGAATATTGATCGTTTTTACATATTTAATGAAGTCTAATATTACGGTATAAGGTAACAGAAAATTCATTAGTTTTACAAGTGTTAATGGACGTTTTTTATATTAAAAACAAATTTAAACAATTGGCAGTAGAATATGACATGTCACTGACCTGGGCCTCAGCAAGTTTGAATTTAAGCTGACGTGAAACCTGGTTGTCGTTGATGGACCTTCCCTACTTGGGAGAAACCTATCGTCATGGCAACTGCGGTCTAATCTGATCAGAGGTGTGTTTGCTTAAAGAATTCGATTAGGAAACCGATCAATAAAGATCTTCTCTGTAGAGTCCGTTTCTTTCTGACCAAACCTACACAGATCAGAGCAATAGACAGAGCTGATCTCCTTCACCAAGACGAAAATATTTACACATTTCGGAGACACTAGACGGGATATTTGAATGTCAAAAAAAAATCCGAACAAGGGAAGTAGATAGGGATGAGTGAGGTTCAACTTTAACGATATGATTGTAATCAACAGTGACAGAAGATTCGGTAGGAAATTATTCGTTCATCTCCACATTCGACACAAGAGCAACTGAGCGTTATGCTCTGGCAGGTGGTGAGCACAGTATGCTTACTGTGGGATAGAGGGAAACGGGAGAGAAAAAGGGGGAGGTTTGGTAAGAAGTGTCCAGCGATTAACACGCCCCCTAGTCAGTAACAAGCATCTAGTTCGTAGTAATAGAACTTGGCCTCGGGTGTGTGTTCGTCGGTTGATGCTATATTCCAAGTTTGAGCGATGTAATACTGTGTGAGGGTTAGTAATAAAAATAGCATGTTGTGCCCAGGGATTGAAATTTTGTAGTGTAATGTTCACTTAACTACCCCTCAGACAGAGCAACCGCTTAAGAGAAACAAAATAGCTCACAAAAGTAAATATCTACCACATTAAAACAAACAAATTAATTGTTAGATTTATAAACCTACTATATAAACTCAGAAATTTCAGTTGCTATAGTAACAAAGCATTATATGGATGTAAGAAATAACTGATTTAAAGTTTTGAGACGTCTTGAATTTTATTACAATTGTACAACGTTCCGACAAACTTGTGGAAACGTTGTACATTTATAATAAAGTTTCTCTTACTACCCATTCAAGACGTCTCAAACTTTATTTTCTAAAAGTGGGTTACTCGTCGTTAAACAACCTATTCTGTTTCTGAATTATTGAAGCGAGAATAATAAAACAAAAATCGGTTATTCTTGCTGATCTACATTCTGATCATTTGCCTACTTTCGCGTATTTAATTTTTATTGGTAGATTTTGTTACTAAAATTAGTTTCTTCTTCACTGCTGATCCCACAAGAAATTGGTTTTCTATTAACCTGCATGTATTTTCATGATTTTCACAATACGCCTAACTTAATTTCACCTTCGTCTTTTGGTATTTTCAACCTGAGCGACACATGGGTTAAACAGCTAGGCTTAGAAAGCTCTACGTTTTCGGGCTAATTTCACTGCTAATTTAGAACTGCTTAGCAAGCGGAGGACAACCAGTCAGCAGCACCCGTCGCCTACACGACTACTCTTAATCCAATAGTGGGATTTACTTTCACGGTTAGAAGTTCTCACAGTTAAAATTATCAAGTGTGTTCAGCAGCATATCGCGTCACGGCTCGAACCTTGGACATTCCAATATGCAGCCCGGCATGCTAGCAGGCTGTACTCGGTTCTTATTCACCGTACAAAGCTAGCGTACACGAGGATATAGTCACAGGCAGACAAACGGTAATGAAAACAGTAAAAAAAATCCATAATTAGTAATGATATTCTGGATTTTCATCGAAGGGTTTTTATTGACGGGAGAAATTCTTTCAGTTCATGTATTTGTAAACATTTTGTTTATCTTTGATACAGGATTAGAAGCAATAGGATATTATTTCTTTTGTTGACGGGGATAATTCAATAAAATATACATTATATATATATATACCTATATGCGGTCATCTGTTACTAACACTATTTTTTACCACAAACTGTGTGTCTGGCAAAATATAGTGTTAAGTTCAGAAGTGAGGGGTCATCGCGATCAAACTGGTTATTTCATATAGCTAACGTGTTTACTAAGAAAGTCATTGTTTGAGGTATAGTATTGTAAAGCAACAGTGTATGACTACCGTGTTTACTAAGAAAGTTATTGTTTGAGGTATAGTATTGTAAAGCAACAGTTTATGGCTACCGTGTTTACTAAGAAAGTTATTGTTTGAGGTATAGTATTGTAAAGCAACAGTTTATGGCTACCGTGTTTACTAAGAAAGTTATTGTTTGAGGTATATTATTGTAAAGCAACAGTGTATGACTACCGTGTTTACTAAGAAAGTTATTGTTTGAGGTATAGTATTGTAAAGCAACAGTTTATGGCTACCTTGAAACTCATTGTTTGAGGTATATTATTGTAAAGCACCAATGTATGGAAGGTCAGACAACTAAAAATACAACGTTCCATATTACAAACATGACTAAGGTACCATCGATCTTCATTTGAGTGTATAAGAAAACAACATGGAAAATAATAAGTATTTGAGATATGGGGGCGACGCTCCCCCTGAACATGAAGTGAGGGATCGTCGATCCTTCTCGACTCCACCATAATAAGTATTTGAGATATGGGGGGCGACGCTCCCTCTGAACATGAAGTGAGGGATCGGCGATCCTTCTCGACTCCACCATAATAAGTATTTGAGATATGGGGGCGATGCTCCCCCTGAACATGAAGTGAGGGATCGGCGATCCTTCTCGACTCCACCATAATAAGTATTTGAGATATGGGGGCGATGCTCCCCCTGAACATGAAGTGAGGGATCGGCGATTCTTCTCGACTCCGCCACTGAATATACGGTTTCGTACTAATGGTTACTACGACTAGTGATCAAAGTATTCTTGTACGTAAACGTTTTGTCTTGTACTTCCGTATTATAGTTTCTTGTATTTTTAATAAATACGAACGTTTTAGTTTGTAAACATGCAAGTGAGCATCAGAAACGTTATTGAATCACAAGTCTAATCACTATTTTTAACCATTTGTCGTTTCGCCAGCGAAACACACCATAGTCATCACCTCTGTATTTGTGTCTAAACAGCAGGAAAACTATCGTGCACGTGCAAAAGTCATCACGAGACTAACGTACAGTAACTAGAACGAAGGAAATGTATACATTCAACGTGCTTCTCTTGTGTACGTGTTTACACGCCAACAAATGTGGTCTTCGCATAGAAACTTCGGTTTGAAACCTGTATAGAAGAAACCTACCATCAAATACGTATATGTAACAGAAGAAGACACTTTGTCCAATCTATCTATCCCATCTTTAGCACTTTTTTATTCTAGATGCGTACACTATTTGGTTGAGAAGTTTTAATAGTTGAATTACACAGCTTTCCGTTTGAAAATAATAATTAAGAATAATGTACAGTAGGTGGGGAGAGGGGGGGGGGTAAAATTGCTCTGTTTATTTTGCAACTGATCCTGCATCGTCTAACAAAAAAGCCCAAAAATCAATGTATTTATAGAGGGGAATCCAAGAATTGCGTAACGTAGGGGGAGGTCGGTTTTATATCTTACAGCGTATCTTGTACGTTATTGCGTGTAATGCATTATGGTATACTGTCAGATGACCGTTGAAATAATTCAAAAGTAATTCCCCTAAAGATAGTGAAGAATAAATATAACATGTGCAGTCAGTCTAATCCCTTTGATGAGAGCGTATACGTATTATGATTGTCTGGTAGGCCGTTTACAAATAACTTTTGTCATTCCATGTGCGAGTTCAATAAGGAAAAATAACACCGCGTTTGTTGTTAAGGAAAGGAGACTCACTGCAAAGCATTGTCAGCAACAATGTTTGGGTTTCGATGCAATTGGTGCATCCAGCTCAACAGAGTTCTCAGGTTCGCTAAGTAGCCGTGGAATTTTTTCCTGCTGGATGCCACCGTTCCTTGTCATATTATTGAATGCAAGAAAAAACCTCTACCGAAGTGAACGCTTTTTCGGTTCGTTGACGAATGAAAGAGAGTTTGGACCTAAAATCTGTCAATGCGTTTGTGCACTGTATGCTACATTTCTGAAAATTAGATTTTGGCTTTAAGGGTGCTCAGAATTTTTATATTGTTTTAATTTGTTAAGCTATGTCGATTATTAGAGCAGTGACACAGTCACACTGACTTGTTGCATCAGGCCACAGAAACACCCACACTGACTTAATGCATCAAGCCACTGAAACAGTCACACTGACTTGATGCATCAGGTCACTGACACAGTCACACTAACTTGATGCATCAGGTCACTGAAACAGTCACACTGACTTGATGCATCAAGCCACAGAAACTCTCACACTGACTTAATGCATCAAGCCACTGAAACAGTCACACTGACTTAATGTATCAGGCCACTGACTCAATTACACTTACTTAATGTATCAGATCACTGAAACAGTCACACTGACTTGATGCATCAGGTCACTGACTCGGTCGTTCTGACGTGTCACGTTAGGCCACCAACAACGTTACAATGGCGTGTCGTATCAGGACACATCTGCTCACTAATATACAACGTTTATAAGACCCTATGTAATACTTTTCATTTCATGTCATTTAACAGTTTGTTTGTTAAAAACTATACAAGTGGTTATATCTAAGCTACATGTGACCATTGCTTTGAACACTTTTGGAATTTTGTATTAAGCAACGAGTGAATAATCAGAGCTGACTCACTATTACTACCCTTGTTCGTTTGTAACAAATAATACTCATTATTACTACCGTTGTTTGTTTTGTAACAAATAATACTCATTATTACCCCTCGTTTGTTTGTAACAAATAAAACTCATTATTACCCCTCGTTTGCTTGTAACAAATAATACTCATTATTACCCCCCTTGTTTGTAACAAATAATACTCATTATTACCCCCTTGTTTGTAACAGATAATACTCACTATTACTACCGTTGTTTGTTTTGTAACAAATATTACTCATTATTACCCCTCGTGTGCTTGTAACAACTAACACACAACCAGTATTCTAAAACAGGTGAAGTATATGTTCCATGTGAAGTGACAGGGTAGAGTGAGAATGTGTGGATTATGATTCAGAGAATATTTTCATAGAAACCTTGCGTTACAGTTACAATCCAAAACTTAACAATACAGAAAACACATTCATAGTATCCCGCTGTTCAGCATAAAGAAAAAAGATTCAAGTTAACAGTTGAGAAAAAGATTGATTTGACTTTGAAAGTTTTATGATGAAGGGAGGTACACATAGAACTAACGAATATCAGTGTGTTTATATGTGTCGACTACCGATATG